TAATTTAGCTTGCGAAAGAAAATTTGAAATCGGGCAGCTGGAAGGATGTTTGGTGTAGGTGAAAGATGGAACGGATGTGATTATTTATTAATGGATCTGACTAACAATGATGGCGAAGATGAAACAGAATTCGATTATGTGCCTAAAGATATAACGAAAGACAAACATGACGAACTTTTCATGTTATCAGATAATGAAATTTTTAATTTCATAGGGTTATGTCATTTATTTTAAATAAACAGCTTTTAGGCACATGTAAAAATCTAATTTTTGTATGCTTATTTTTGTCTTTATTTTTAACTTTTCATTTTTATATCTGGCGTATAACACGCACTCGTAAATTTCGATCTCATTTTTTGTATTAAAAGTGTGCATTGTACGCCGGAATGTACTGTAATTTCCCATTTTGCTCTGTGCATGCCATATAGTGACTGAGTGGTAAGACCGCCGAACACTGCCACTGAACGCTGAACACTGTTAACCCGAGTAACGTGTTAACTAGGTACCTATCTAACATGAAGACTAGTCAGTCCCGCCCCCCAGAAAGTCTCCAAAAGCATCCTTCTTGAACTTATATCTTCGTCTGCATTGCCACAATAAATTAAACAAACTTATCTATTACTAAAGTGCAATAATTTGAATTCCAGTTTTCTACGTAAAGATATGTTGTTTCTTATGCTGAGATGCCAAACCTTTAAATTACAGATTTGAAATTATAACCCATTCATTCCATAGTACGATTAAATCAATGTTATCATTAGGTTCTGTACAGCGTCTTCTTCTGAGTATTAAGTAAATGCAGTATTACAGCAACTTAGGTTTTAGTTTTGGGCATTTAATGAAAGCTTTTAGATCTTAAGCCATTAACTGAAAACTAGCATAAAATTAATTCTTTTGCCAGCTATACTGAATCTTTTGTATACGTTTTCATTTTCAATTAGCATAAAATAAACCCTAAAATCCAAAGACACTGTGTTTAAGTAGTTCCTTTTTGCGCTATATACTGATAAAATTAATTTTAAAACCCAAATTTCTTTTCTCAGATAAAATTATTAAATACCAAATGACATGTGTTTTTATTTCTATAATTGTGTAACAGTAATAAAAAACTTTATTTGATGTTACCTAATTGGAATAAAAAACAGGGAATCAATGCATTCGTGATTAAATTATTTTATATTTTCAAACTACATTAGCAAAACCTGTAAATCATTATGATATTAAAAAGACTAATTTATCAAAATATAAAAATATATAAGAATTTTAACTTGCAGTTATAGTTATTAGAACTTTATTATAATATAAGGACTTACACTGCAAGCTTTTAAATCAGAAACGACCGAAAGTTTATTAGATAAACGAGGTGAAGAAAATGTTATATCTTATCCGAGAAAGTTTAAAATTTTAAAGAAATTTATACCCGGAAAAAAAACTAGAATTTTCGTAAAGCCTCACATGAGAGTACTTCAGATAGAGTTCAAATTAACCTCACATGAGAGTACTTCAGATAGAGTTCAAATACCATTTGAACAGTAAAACTTAAACTATGTCTAATTAAGTTCAGTTATCAACATTTTCAGTTGTATTACATCTGACTGCATATTTATATTAGTTAGCATGGAAGAAAACTTTGTATCTGCCATTTTGTAAGATAAATACGAAATAAAGAACTTATATAGTTGTAGACGTAGAAAATAATTTTGAGAGATTTCAGAGTTGCTAAAATACGATAATTATTTAAGCACTAAAATTGGTCAAATCAGATGTCGCTCGTAATGGTAAAGAGCCCACCAGCGGCCGAGCGGTAAAGACGCTGAACACTGGTAGTTCGGCCAAGGTTCGAATCCCGCGAACGGGATGGCTGCATGGGCGTTTTCCCCATGTGTAACGTGTATACGAGCCAGTTTCCTTTTAGAAAGTCCCTCCACGAAGGCATCCCTCCCTTTAGGCAGATAGCCCTCGTGTGCTTTACCATATTTAAATAATCCAATCCAATCCGTAATGGTAAAGAAACTGCAGCTTTAAACTACTAATAGCTAAAACTGCAAATTTAAACTTGTAAGTCCTGTAAATTCAAAGTTTCTCCACTCAGATCTGTAATTTTTCACTGTATGGAAACTTAAAAAGATGTAAATCTAAATTTGTATCAGTACTTAAGATTTATTTCACTTGTTGTTATGCGACCTTAATTTAAATTTAAATCTTAATAATGAAACCAATTGTTCAACATTGTGACTTTGAAAATGAAATACTTGTTTCTCGAACAATAATTTTTTACATCCTGGTGATGCAGTATTGTCCGCCTTTTAAGAACCGCTACTATGTGGCTGGTCGTTGTTTGTCGGTTTTATCAAAAAGGTTTTTTCAGAATTAATTAATCATAATAGCATTAAAAATATTTTTTTTCATTTCCAGAAAGCTATTTAACATCAAATTCAACCTATTTACAATCTAACTGATAAGCAAGACGTACAAAAAAAGAGAGGCGAAAAAAATAGTTCGACTTTCAAGAACCAAATCTACTCGTGTATTCCTCCATACACTTTTTTTTTAACATTACGCGGCATATACCATATCTAAGAAGAAGGCGTATATGAAGAAGACATAGCCCCGTAATGAAAAGACTTACTAATAATATTATTTTATTCTGTATTTAAAAGAAATCAGTTAAAGTTAACTACAGTGATTAACATAAATAGTAAGTTCCTAAACCAAATAAAAAATTTCTGGGTGAAAAGTACACTAGAGGGGCAAAATATGCGAGTAAACACGGTAAATTTTCCATCTGAAATCTTTATAGGAATATTAAACATCTCTATCTGTTCAAAGTTTAGTTTTATCAGTCACAGCAAAGCGCTCGGGTGTTGTCTTTCAAAGAGAATGACTTCCTAAGAAAAACTGACTCACATTCATGTTGCACGAGGTTCGGAAATGCCCAAGTAGAATCTCGCTGCGAATAAGTTCAACGAGATTCTCATCACATTCGAAGTATTATAGTGTTCAACAATCGACTACTCAGCGAATGGAATATCATCTATTAAAGGTATTGCTTAATATAACCTTTGTATGAGGTTGTAACCATATGTTATTTAAAGAAAATTAACTAATCTCTCGCATTCTTTTTAATAAAAAATCTAAGATTATAAACCAGCTTATTTATTTCCGTAAAAGCACAAAATTTGTTATCGCGGTTTCTACTTGTTAAACTGAAATTTAATCATTTGATTTCATTCACTATGAAAGTTTTATTATTTTTTAAAATATAATTTATTCCTTCTAATTCGCTTTATGGAAACTGAACGATCACTGATATTAGAGATTTCTGGAACCTATTTTATAAAATATTCTGTTTCCCAGTAAGTATTCTCTATTCTTAAATACTTTTTCCAGTAGTTTCAGCATTCTTTCAAACACATCAAAGGCCGATCAAATGTATTCACTGAACACTGGTACTTTCGTGCAGGGTTCCATTCCCGCTTTATGGAAAGAACTGGTGGGACTTGACTGGGCTTTTGTGATAGTCTTCTCTCGTAAAGAAAAATGTACAGTAGTATTTTTCGATCGAAAGTCTGCCGTAGAGCATCCTTTCCAATATTTTTGGAAAAATCACCCTAATAAATTACTTACTATAAGCCTGGCAATTAACGAAGTTTTAAGCAAAGAAGCTTTTGGTTGGGAACTTTTTCAGATAACTAAGGGCCATAGTTTCTAAATACTGTTCTAACCTGATACTAATAAAATATCCTATTCGCAACACTATATGCATATGCTTCTTTGTTTAATCAGGAAACGATTAAAGTTAAAAACGACATAATTACTGAAGATGAAACAGACTTAATGGATGACATCTTTAAACGCTGTATTCTACGTATCTTGGTTGAAGAACTTTTCTTTAACTGTCTTTTTTGCAATCCATTAAATGTCTTAAAATTGGAACTCAGATTAAATTTTAAAGATGTCCAACTTCTACTTTATGATTATGGTTATATGAAGATCCACAGCAAAATAATTCATACAGGTCTACAGTACAATTATCTTTAATTACACGCTGCAAAAACTCAAGTACTTCATAATAAGGATTTATGTTTCCTCATTCCCCTTCTTCAAAAAGCTAGCATGTTTATACAACTGAAAGAATAAGCGTTATCAGTATATGCACCAAACGTAACACATATATTTCTGAGTGCAACTAATGGTTTATTGATCACTCTGTTCAATTGGTGTCCTACATATCGTCTCACCGCAGATGTGATGCACAGTATACATGCGATCACAACATTTTAAGATGGAGGTTTTTTTTATCGCTATGCGTTATTAAATGATAAAGGTCTGATTTAATTAAATAGCAGTGTATGATGTTACTTTTCCTTAAAATGAGGAACAAAACATTTATGGTTTTTGATTGCTTTCAGCTTAAGTAAAACTTTATTTTTAATATCTTAAATTTACACTTCCCACTTATATTATCAGCCATTCGTATGAAGGGATAAATATATCTTATTTTTTAAAAAAATCAGTTTTTTATTCCTTCCTTTCTGGATTCATATTTTTTTTTCTTTACCTGTCGTAGTGCTGTGAGTATTATCCACATTTAGAATCCAGATACAGTACTGCCTGACTTATTAGAAAACAATAGCTAGTTGATGTTCTCTGTTAATTTTAAAACGTCTCGTGTTTATTATGTTAAAATTTCAACCGAAAAGTGTAAGTGCTACCTTTGCTTATTTTAAAATGCGGATTCGTTAGCTTAATAACTTCCTATTAAAGTAACAAATGTTATTGAATCTTGCGAAATGCTTACTAATTATAATGCAATCCGATATCCTGTTTCAAACACTTCATAAAAGAAAGGGGAAATTTTTGAAAACAGAATGTTTTCTGTCCCGCTTTCATTCATGAACATGTCATTTTTAATAATGCGTTTTCTATGAGTGTAAAGCTATCACAATTGAATTTATGACTCACCACAACAATGATCTTTCTTTTCTTTTGTTCTCAAGGCAGCTGCCAGAGTTACGGACATTCATGCCTTGGAGGTAAGTAAGAAAAAACTTGCAATATATTTTCCATTTCCGGTTTTTTAAGTATTAATGAAAATAATGAAGAAGAATTGTCTTTCACCAAGGGCTAAGTCATAGACTCTTTTTATTTGTTGTTTTTTACGTTAAATGTTAATAAACAGAAGACGTAATCTACTAAGTTTCAGACTCAACTAAGACCCAAGAAGCGAGAGGCATTCAGACTTTTCAAAAAGCTTAGTTTAGAATCCACTTCCCTTAACTGGGACGTATAAGTAAAGCTGATCATTCAGTTAAAGTAGATAATATATGACATATCTCAAGAGACAAAGAGACCACTTCCATAAAATAAGAATATGTACAATGTCATTGATAAGCTTAAATTAAATAAATGTAGCTGTAAATGTCGGTTTTTGCAGCTAGCATTATTTCTTTTCCAATTCATTGTAAAAATTAAACGCATTCTTAGGAAGGTTATAAATTCGAATTTAGAAAATATTATTTATCACCATAAGACTTTTTTCTTCCTTTGTGAAGAAAATGTATGTCTGTTTTTTCGATTAGAAAGCCTACTGTAAAGAATCTCTTCCAATACCTTTAGATAGATCGCCTTGATAAATTATATGAGATAAAGTTAGAAATAAATGAAATTTTAAGAAAAGAAGCTTTTTATTGAAACTATTGCAAATAACTAAGGTTCATAATTTACAAATACTATGCTAACCTGATGCTAATAAAATATCTGTTTCTCAACACTATGTGATATATATATGCTCTCTTGTTTAATCAGGAAACGAATAAAATTAGGACATAATTACGGAAGATGAATTAACGGAAAACGGTTCTCAACGCTGTATACTAAACATCTTGGCTGAAGTATACTAAGTTTACTAAGCAGCTTTGTTTATTCAGTAAAAGCAGTGCTGCTGACACGACAATCGAGAATGAAAGCCTGATAAGAAAAGAATATTATATTGTGATTAATTTTACATTCTAACAGGCAAAGTATAAAGGAGTTGAGAAAAAGGCTTTTGAATCTTCAATTAAAGTCTTATACAGTCTCTTGAATATCCTTAATCGGGTGCACATGTTCTGTAAATTGTGCAATGCTGTTTTTTATATTTTATCGAGCAATCTTGTATGCTTCAGAGAATTATTCAAGAACAACGACTGTGTGAATGAACATTTAAAATGTAGTAAAAGTAGTGGCTTCCTCAGTTACTAAAACAGAAGCGATATTGGCCCAGAAAGGCAAAGTGCTATGACCGTCTGTTGAGTATGTATATTATGAAACAGTTTTTAAGAAGCGGCTGAAATACTGAACTGAAAATGAAATGCAGTAAAAATATTTGATCTCATCTGGGTGAGAAGGCAATTCTATCAGACAAAAAACAAAAGCAAACATCGGTTGACCAAAGCGGAATTAAATCCTTTGAGCACTGGTGGTAATATCTGCTAGATTTCAGTTTTATGTTAATTAGATACAGTAGAGTGTGTGCTTTTATATTTTTAACTTAGAAGTGTAAGTTAAAAAAAATGTCTTCCAAGAAGGCCACCATAAGACAAACAGCCTTCATGTTCTTTTAGTGCTTTATTACCCAACACCCTTTTGACAGGGAATATAACAAAATAAAAAGCAAAATAAGTTTTCCAAATAAATTCTATAAGATTATCAGGTTCAATGTTTCTCCTTACTTGCTTCGGGAACATTACATGACCTGACTCGGAACAGGGAGCTTACTAAAGCTATGTTCAATAAATGTGGGAAGTAGACAAAACACACAGGAAGGGTATACGAAACCCTTTATTTTTTCTCTTTACAATAATTCCGTACTTCGGAATACAGAGACCAACCACTTGTGGTCTGAACGTAAGAATATAAAAATATTAACTAAATTCTAACTAACTAACTTTGGATTAATAAACAAGTGTCTACTGAAGATTGGCCGTATATTAACCGGAAGGCCGTATGTAGTACAGAGAACTGTTAACACTACGAATACGTTTAAAATTATCAAGAGGATTAAACCTGGCCTTGGAAGGCAACCAGCAACCGAGTAAAACTGCTAAGGCAAGTGGCCTCCTTCCTCTCCCTCTTGCTTGGCAAAAAGCCACAACTTAAGTACTTGGCGTTCGCAAGACAAATTTGCATAAATAAGTTAAAGCTTTTAATTCTGGCCGGAAGTAGAAAATAAGAAATAGAAAATAAGATGATAGTAAAGATTTAAAATAAAATAAACGTTAGTAAAACTTAAGATCCTTACAAGATCAACAATGACAACAATCTGCAGTTATCAATAAACAAAATAATGATAATAAATAAGAAGAAGAAGGAAAAAAAATCCGCTTCCAAAACAAATACTAAACTTAGAGTGATTAAACTAATATTAATAGTAAATAAAATTTTGGAGAGCAAATTTTTACGAAAGAACAGCTATAAATTTTACTTTCCTTTTAAAGAAATGAACACGTTCCAAAATCCATGTCCTCCTAAATGTAAATAAAAGATTTATAATCTGCACATTCATTTAGTTAATAGTAAAAGAAGATCTCAAACAAATGTCTTTTCCACCGAAAAGTCATATATCTTGCCTTAAGAAAAATAGCCATAGAAATATGGGCACAGAAATACAACCACAGGAACCACAACAGTTGCAAATTATTTAGAATTTTCCAATTGTAATGAGAATACAGAGATAAAGGAACAGACGATGAACAAAATAGTATTACCTTGTTTTCCTGATTAAAGCAAAAAAATATTTTTTATTTAATAATTTTTTATCTATAAACTGATGAAAGACGATCTATAAACTGACGAAAGACGTAAGAAATACGATCTGTCACCAGACCGATTTATGCAGAAGAGGCTGAATTAGACAAGACTTCTGTAGGAGTACCTAACAAAAAATTAAATACAAAATAATAATGGTTTTTGTTCTTCAAAAAAATTACTTTCAAACTTGATACATCAGAGGAAGTTATTAATTTGAAGATTTACTCTAATTTCAAGAGTTTTGAAAATGATGATGTCAGTTGACAACAATGAGAATGTATTGGTATAAGTTATACACTGATTACCAATAAGTATTTGGACACCTGTGATAGAAAAGAAAAACTAACTTTATTCAAAATCAATTGTTGGTAGAGCCTCCACTAGAGCTAATTACAGAGTGGACCCTCCGGGGCATACTTTCCACAAGTCTTTGTATGACAGATAGTGATATTTTCTTCCACTCGGCTTGGAGAAGACATAGAAATCCCTTCACCGATTTTGCACGGGTAGTGCACCTCTGAATTCGGCGATGCACTCGTCCAAAGGTTCTCGATAGGGATTCGGTCTAGACTCTAGGCAGGCCAGTCCATTCATGAATCCATCGGCATCATACAAGCCTTGGTTAACTTCGAAACATGACAACTGGCATGTCGTCCTGAAAATAACAGGTGTCCGACCCGTAAAAACTGCCACAACGTAGGAAGCACATTGTCACAAAATAGTGCAGTAGGTATCGGAGTTGAGCTTACCATGAATGGGGACAAGGGTCCCAGCCCATACCAGGAGAAACACCCCCCATATTCCACCCGCCGAACTTGACTGTTGGCACAATGCATTCTGGCAGGAGACGTTTCCAGGTAGACGCCAGACCAGACCATTGCCATCCGAACGGCAAAGGGTGAACCTTGATTCGTCACTCCAAAGAACCCCTGCCACTGATCTACGGTCCAAAGTTCGATGTTCTTTGCCACCACATAACGAGCAGCGCGGTTGGACTTTGTGATCAAAGGCTTATGGGCGGCAGCACGACCATGAAAACCAAGCAGATGTGCTTCCTTACGGATGGTATTCATTGAAACAATACTCCCGGATGCCTGTTGAAACTTTTCGCGGATGAGGGCCATCGGTTGGGTGCGGTTCTTCCGAATTTCTCTGGACAGCACTCGTCGGTCTGCCGACTCGGGGCAAATTCCGACAATCACCGCTCACCTTCCACTTCTTATTCACATAGGCCATTGTCGATTTTGGGTACTTCAGATCGCTAGATATGTCCCTTAAGTATCGGCCCCATTTGTGATACTCGATAATTATACCTTTCTCGAAATCAGAGAGCTCCGAACTGCGAGGCATCTTGCATGCGACTAAAGCCGATGCTGTTTCCTACACGATATATACCGGCGGAGTCCGTGACGTACCTTAGGACCGGAGATATCTTCATTTGCATAGGTGTCCAAATACTTATTGGTAGTCAGTGCAGAAGTAAAGCCTACATTACCGATCGAGCGGATAAGACAGCTGAACACTAGTAATTCTATCTGATTTAAAATGCTGGCGAATAGGCTGGCTGCGTGAGAGTTTGTATGATTTTTATTTCATATCTAAAGTGAATATGAGCCATTTTAACTTATAAGGTCTTTCGCGAAATCCTTCTTTCAATCTATCGCAGATGTAAAAGAATTTAAGTATGTAATTTTAATGATTATACATTAACACTGACTATTTTCTAATGAAATTTAGTTAAGTTCAATATAGATGAGACTACATATTGTTTTCGTCATATCTTTTCTTCTTGCAAAAATTATGAATAAGGCTGAATAGTCCATTTCTCATGGCAGTAGTTTCTCATATATTGCTGCTCTCTTATTCTCTCAGGCTTTCTACCTATTCGGTTAATTCTTTGTTGACAAATACTATTAAATATTATTTCGTTATAGGTTATTGAGAGACAAACATATAGCAACGGCTAATTTGTTCGACACGTCCTTTGTAATTATAAAATTTGTAGTTTTAGAAAAATAGGGCAAGATTTGCTTATATATTTCCAATACAAAACTTAAGTACTCAGAGAAAACACTTTTCGTGGTGTTTTGAAAATTTTATTTTAAAAGGAAATTTTTAATTCTTCCTGAACTGTTGCAATATGTATTACTAACATGCTACAATGTTCAGCGAACACATTGCTAGTATGCTCTTAGAGACAAGCATTCAAAAATGAACTAATGAATTAATTAAAATTATCTTTAGA